CAGTCTTAAGAGTGTTTGGCACCGAAGGGAAAAAGGAGTGAGAGTTACAGGGAATGAACAGGCCCTAAAGGGGCAGGATGCTTTTGTAACAATGGCTCGCACAGCTGGGGGGGCATTCGCTGGTGGGGATCGCCAAGGTCATGATGTGAGGAGACATATGTGAGCAAAGGGGCAGCGTGAGAAGGGAAAGCAAGTAAACATACCAAGAGTCCAGGTGGCAAAACAGGACCAAAGTAGCCCAGTTAGGGTCATATTAATATTTATATGCTGATAAGGATGTCTTTCATATCTCTTCAATTTATCTCAGTTTATTTTCTAACATTCATTTCATATTGTCTTTTAAGGTATATACATGTTTGCCCTTCCTTCAAAGAGACAGATCCTTAAATTAAGAGTCCCTGGTTTTGTATTTTATCTATTCTACTTTCTGCCCAGGTGATGTCAGGCAAAGTGTCTTTTTGAGCCTTAATTTTCTCATATGCAAAATGGATGTAATAATAATATATACTACTCACAAAATTTTGTTTGGATCTGACATCATTCTGCAAATGAAATGCTATGCAAATAATAACAATTATTATTCCTCACGCTTATTTTAATAAAGGGAGCCCTACTATTTATTTTCACATTAGCTGCAATACTCCAATGCTTGGGAGAAGTAAATCTCAGGAAAATCTATAAAAGTTTTTAAATTAAAATTATGGTATACCTTAACATGAAAATAACGGGTCATCCAGAATTTGAACATTTGGAAATAATTAAGTACATAAACAATTCTTACCCACAGTATAAAATACGGTTCGATATGTATTTATAAAAACACAGTGCATTTTAGAAATGGAACATTTAATAGGTAACTACTATCTCTTTTTCTCCACAAGCACTGAAGCAGCACTTACATATCACAAATTTCACCTTACACTCACACGTGAATGAACAGGTATATCATAAATATCGGGATTTTGCCGTTTGGTCTTCTACATTTCTAATTATGAGTATTCTGTAGGATCTTTACCATTTTTAGGTTTGAAATAATGGCTGTTGGAATAACTCAGTCATTTTACGTGTCGGTCCATTGCGCTCATCGTGAGGTCCTTTCTCGCAGCTCCTTCCTGAACTGCAGTGGGAAACACACTGAGACGGTTGTAGTTGCTAGAATGCCACGCGTGGGTTTGCCTAAGGCCCTGCGCTGCTCAGCCATGCAGGTGGAGGTCAAGGGGGTAAGATGATGCCCCTTTGGTCCCTGAGAGCCAGCCAGTGTGACAGTCCCGGTGAACACCCAGATCGTTTGACTTTAGAGCCCAATCGTCTCCCCACTACATGAATACATTTTTATTTCATTGTATATCTCTGCCAAACAAACGGTCATAGATTTTCCTTAAATTGCCCAGAATTCTAAAGTGCAAAGTCACTGTGGGTCTGCCTCCGGAGCATAGAGAGAACTGCGGGAAATCTTGGCTTGTAACCCCCCATACTGCTCATAGGTGCATGTCAGGGGAATTCAGTTTACCCTTCCAAGTTTTTACTTCATCCATCCGATGGAGTTAATCATTTTGGGGCCAGGAAACTTTCCCCACACCCCTTTAGTTCTTCCGGCTGGTTGAATAATTAAAACCACCTACAGCACATTAGCAGGAGAAAATCAAATTTTAATACCCATGCGTGGGGAATTCACGTAGCATGAAAATCCCGAAGGCAGTGAGGCAAAATGAGGTTCTTATGTCATTTTGGATGAAGGAGAGGGAGGGAGGCAATTCTCAGGTAGATGAGAAAGAGCAAACATTTGGTAAAAAAAAAATTTTCTCAGGGCCGCCTAGGAACAATGGGACACAAATGGGAATCTAGGGAACAGATTTTTGCTTGGACCCTCCGCATCTGCCACATTTATCATATGTGCTAAGGTGTGTATGCTACAGTGTCCTTCCTGTAGCAGGATTTTCTATCTGGATCTTTTTAGGCAGGTAAAGGGGAGGTAAAGGAAACTCTGCTTGAGTTTTTGGGGCTTTCATTGTTTTCAGCTGGAAATAATCTGCTTGCCAGGGTGGCACATTCTGGGGAGATTCCCTGCAGATCCTCCCAATAACCATACTTTTCCATACTGTCCACACTTGTTTTGCAGATGAAATGAAGTAATGCTCGTGTATTAGAAAGAGCTAAGACTGAATTTCAGTAGGTTGAACTAACTCCATATTGGGCAAGTAATGATAGTTCCCTAAACTTGTGGTTTCTTAGATCATAAAACAGATGTACCCAAATCTAATTCAGAAGATTACTGTGAGGAGTTTAGATACCACATGCAAAGGACCTGGTTCACTGAGTAGCATCTAGCCCTCAATATAGTAGCCATCCTTATGACCTTGTTGTTGACAAGCAAGTTAGGAATTTGCAGGGGAAAAAATAAATAAAACTTAACTCAAGACTTAACTCTGCCCACTACATTTTGTGAAACCCCAGACAAGTCCTTTTCTTCTTTTTTAAACCTGTAAACTGTATATAATAACACAATCTGAGTCTTCAGGTGTTTGCTATGATTAAATGAGAGAATACAGGTAACTGCATCTAGCATAGTTCCCGGCACATGGGCTGCTCAATCAATGTTTATTGAACCTGAATTTAAAGTATATACCTCATCCCAATTGCAAATATCAGTGTCTTATTCAACCACAGATGTGACAACCACGAGTTAGATGTGTTTCTGATGTTGCATTTTTCAAATTACTTGGTCTTAAAGAAGTTACTCATTTTTCTGCGGTCTATGTTAACAGTTAGGTCCTTGTAAAAAAAAAGGCGGCTCTGTAGGTGAGCCTTATATCTTTATGCAAGTTAATGAAGAGGCCTGGAATGTTCTGCAGGTTTCAGAAATCTGGTGGCTGTTTCTTTAACTCTGCAACTTAGACAGAAGACTTCTGTTTCTTTATGAGCACACTACAGTGAATATTTTGTCTAGCTGCAGGGGAAAAGCTTTGTCATGGACTTTGCAGACAATAGCCTTAAAAGTAAAATGGTCTGCTTTTGGTGCCGGGAGGTTCAGGGGCCTATTGTTAGCACACAATGGATTTCTATTGCTGCATTCCTGCTTTGCAAAGGTTTGTTAGCTTTTAATGACTGACAGTACTCTATTGCAAATACCATATTGGCTGTTCCCTGTTTACATGCTTCTCAAGAATTTTTGTGGAGTGCTAGGAAAAAGAAACAGTGGTGTTTGTTTGACCCACTCTGATAAGGTTTAAAAAATAATTTCACTCGTGAAGTGTTTACTGGGAATGTAGAAACATTGGAAATCCTTGCAGAAGCACTTAAAGCTATCGTTCAAGCCTCAACAAACAGAAATGTTGGTTACAGTAAGAATATATTTAGCTCATTTTATTGCTCATATAACCATCATTTCCATTTTTAAAACAATATGGTATAAAAAAGGGATATTTTAAGAAAAAGTAAATTTTTTAGGATATTTTCCTTAAATGTGAAAAAAATGGAAATATATACTTTGTGACAAAGAAAAAATGCATTTTACACATTCTGTAGATAAATATGCACACAGAAGTTGCTCTCTCTCTCTCTTTTTCTCTCTCTCTCTCTATATAAAATTTTCACCATACATACAGGCCATATAAAGCTGTAATACTTCAGCGTTTTTTCACCATTTTCTTTTCCACAAATTTTTGACATCTGAAGGCAGAGCATTCCATATTGCTACAGTTTATGCCAAGGAAAATTTCACCTTCACTCTGTTGAAAACTCCACACAGGCCCAGTGATTCTGACAGCTGATGGCCGTAAGATCACGGCCTTAAGAAAAGTAGGTAGCATTAGCTAAAGCTGAGGATGAAGGTGCCTTAAAATGCATTTGATGTGGGGAAAATTAACCAGTTTCTAATAATCTTATGGTCTCCAGGCCAGACGGTCCCTTTGATAAGTTAACATGTACTCCCTTTATGCTCCTGGTAGGGGGTAGACAAATGTCTGCACAAACACAAATACACATAAACACCAATGGGGAGAATGGCAGTGTAAGTCTTAGATCCAGATAATAAGTGTGGGTATTGTTATTTAGATGGCGCATACTGGGACACTTATCTTTTAGTACACTCCATTTTCTAACTGAATGCAGTGCTAATCGCGGGATTGAAAGGCATTGTAATTGTGTACCCATCTAAATGCTGACAAGAACATACAATTACATTGTTTGGAACCGAGTTTAATGTTTGGGAGTTTTATTAGCATTTATATTTACTTATACATTAAAATTCAGACACAAAAGGAGAGGTCAAAACCATGTGATATACAGAAACAAATATCAGACTAAAGCATAACTTTGCTCTCTAAAATATGTGTGCCCTGTCCCAATACAGGGCATTTTTTAAAAAAAAATGTGACACAAATCTGAAGTAAGCAAATAATAGGTTTCCATTATAGGCATTACTGCCTTCTCTAGATTTTGCAATCTTTGTAAAGCTCCTTTTGTACCAACTTTTTTTTTTTTTTTTTAATGTTCTCGGCAAATCTTTCCACAGTGTGCTCACCACCACACGATGTTAAACACATATTATAAAGTGGATGTAATTGTAAACACACAGAGGGATATAATTACATGTAGCAGATTTAAGAGCTAATTCTTTGCCTTTTTTTTTACTTTGCATTTTATCAACATAATTATTTTTTGACTGCAGACTAACACCCTGAAATTGACAAGCATCCATTATAGCAGGAATTTATTCACCAAATTGAAAAACAATGAGCTGCAGGTTTATGTGTACCCATTGTCATAAAGAATTAGAAGGGCTTTGTTCTGCAAGAGGAAAAAGCTAATGATTTTGAAACAGCAGGTGACAAAACACATTCTGTTTTTCCTCCCCTGTTATCAGTTTGTTGATGAAGTCATTATGAACTGGGGCTGGGATAGGGATGGCCTTGTTTTTAGCAGAGAGACTTTTAATGAGCTCCATTGTAAAGATAGTCATGTTGATTTGCTTACATTTTTTTCTTTTCTTCTTTACTTAGAAACCCCCAGTATTGAAAAGCTACTATCAAAGGACTGGAAAGACAAGCTTCTTGCAATGGGATCAGGGAACTTTGGTGAAATAAAAGGTAAAATGTTTGCGATTATTTTGATCCAAAATGTATCGAAATGAAGTTAATATTTAGGAGTATGAGTGGTAGTGAAGTACTTCAGCCCCCACCCTCTTCTGCCTTTTGTGTTCCCTGTCTGTGGTGTCTCTTCTTTCTAACTTGAAAGTGGGTGTCTCAGGGTTCCTATTTTCTGTCTTTGTACCTTGTGGGATAAGTGGCACGTTGTTTTAATAGAATAGCCTCACCCTATCTTTAGAAGGCTTTGGTTTTCATCATTTAAAAGAAATTAAGTGGTTTACCTTTTAAGTAGGAATGTATTTAAGCAGAGTTAAAAATTGGATATTATGAGATGATTTCATACATTCTACACAATAGAAGCATAGTTGTACACAATCTACATTTGAAACCAGAATGATGAATGGGGAAGGTTTAAAAGAAAGTTGCTTTGTACTAGTAAGGGCAACATTTTTGTTTTTGTTTTTGTTCTTTGGAGTCAGAAATCGCATACAACTATGAGAAAAATTCTATATGAACTTCAGATAATACTGAATATTCATATCTTAATCAACTTTTACTAATAACGAGGGGAGTAGATTAAATTTTACCTAAAAATATAGTGGAATGATTCTGTCAAATTAATTGAAAAGTATGTTTTCTCAGAGCATAGGAGGCAATCTGTGGCTTTCTATTTGTTGCTAATAGGACACTTTTGATTCTGAGTTCTAAAGGATAATTTTTTAGAAAAGAATACTTCATCAATATTTAAATATTGTTATATATGACTGTATATTTTGTGATAGGGACTATCTATTTAAAATGCCACCAGGTTTACATTAATATATATGTAGAAATACGTATATAAGTAACTTTTAGCATATGTGTGCATGCCCGGGCGCTCTCCCGCTGAGGGAGGCCATTGTCTCCCTCAAGGCTCCAGGTCAGAGCATCCTGGAGGAAGGCAGGTGTAGATGGGTCTTCTCAAATGTTGGGCCTACGCGCCACTAGCATCTCAGTAATTTGAAACTCCCAGAAAATGTTTGACTTGATATTTCACTTTTCACCCATCTATGTGGAGTTTACATACATTCAGGCTAGGATCCCGCGTGAATGGGTGGCAAGAGAATGAATGGGCGCTGATCAGCAAAATCTGGAATGGACTCCAACTGAAACAAGCCAATAATAAGCCTTCCAAGGCTCGCAGGCAGAGCTTAAGGAGAACAAAGAAGTTTCTTTTTCTGAGGCAGCATATCCTTTATATCATTTTGTTGGATTTTAACCCATTTGCACCTGAGATAAAAGACAGACTGTTTTCCCAGGTTCTCTGTTCTCCTCTGACCTAGGTAATGACTGAGTAGAGCAGAGAAGGCCGCCGTCCGGAGCCTTGTGATCTCATTCCACTGGAGGGCAAACATGTTTCCCTCCCTTGTTTTCCTCACAAGTCAGACTTAAAAGCAGCCACAGCAGTGATGATAAGCTTAGAGGAAAGAAGCTCAGCTGTCCTTTCAGGCTCGCCTGTGGGGTTAGTTCAAGAAGCTGCAGTGCAGCTGCGAAAGAGGTTTCTGTCTTTAATTCTGAGTTTTTTAAGCTTCACATTTGGAGCCCAAGTTTGGTGATTGTCCTCTGGTTCTGTTCAGAAAGCTGTTTTCTGATGCGTTTTAAAAGCAACCATAGATCTTTCTTCTGCCCGGGGCATGGTTATTAGGTGCTCAGATCAGGTTTGGCAGAAGGCTGGGAAAATGTGCGCAGGGCTGCTTTCCCTGCTGACTGCCCGTGACAGTGGCAATTACTATCCATTGTTCATAGGTGGCTAGAAAGGGGAGAAGATACAATGGTGTGTTGCCCTCTGGGGGAAATAAATTTGACTTAATGGTTCTTGGGGGTCAGACTGGATGATTAGGTGGTGCCCAGGAATGTGGTTTTCATGCCACCTCAGAAGTTAGACAGGAACAATGGCTTAGCTGTTTGGGAGCTGCTCTCTTTTCTTTTCTTTATGAGGCAAATAAAGGTGTAAGTCTCGTGGCCTCCCACACTGTTTGGGGACAGTTTAAGGAAGGGTAAGTATGAGCTTCTTTAAATCTGGAAGTATGAACTTATTCCATTATGAGATGATTTAATAATGATACCTTAGAATAATTATTTGAATAGAATCTTTGCATATATCAGGATGCATACAGCCTCTACAGTATTTACCCAGTCTTCTTGTGGACTGAAACTTTTCTCTTCCATTTACGCTGATCAGTTTTCATTTAACTTTTACATCTTTTATCAAATTTATTGGTGTGACACTGGTTAACAAAATTATACAGGTTTCAGGTGCACAGTTTGACTACACATGATCTGTACACTGTATTGTGTGTTCAGCACCCCAAGCCAAGTCTCCTAATTAGTTCCAGGAAAAGTAAGAGCAAGCGAATGAATGTGTGTGTGTGTGTGTGTGCACACGTCAGCACACACCTATTCTTGAATATCTAAGACTATAGCCAAGCAAAGACTGAGCTCAGCTCCTTTAGCTCCTTAGTGCAGTGCTGGCTTCAGGGTGCTGTGAGTGAATTACTGTCAGGCATATGGAGAAAGATGAAAATGACAGCTTGGCAAAGTTCAAAGAAGTGTTTCTTACTATTGAAAAAGTAAAAATGATAAACTTTTAAAAGTAGGAAAAATAAATAGTATTTGGTTTGGATAGTTTAGCAATCAATAAATTATTGTCATACCCACTTAGAGTCAGCCTCACTTTTTAAGAAACAATGTGAGTTGGTAAAGGTCACCACTTTTAAAAGCGTAAAATTATTTTTCAGGTTAGATTACTTTGCCTGTACGAATTTATACCATTTTATGGTCTGGTACTTTGGAAATGTGAAGTAATTAGATGTTAAAATTACATTAGAAACAATCCTTTAAACACACACAGACACACAAAGGACACTAGATCCAGTTTTGCAGAACAAAACAGTTGGACTAAAAAGCTCTGCAGACAGCAAACAGTCCATCTATGTAATAAACTGATGAGCTACCTGCATCAATTATTTATTTCTTCTTCTCTAATTATCCATATAGTATAACTGGCCAGTTTAGAGAGTTTTTTTTGTCCTTATCTAAAGCAAAAGCACTGAATAAAGTTTCTGTGAAAGATAAAGCAATGCCTTTCATAGCCTCCTCGGTATTGGAAAGGGGAAACCTGGTGCCTGCATTCCGGTTGGTAGCCAATCGAGTCTCATGCTGGTTCAACCAGCATGAAATTCCATTACACTGAAGGTCACTGCGTTGGCTCTTTCCCTGAGGACAGTGTTGGGGATCCCTGGTGGCTTTGGCTAATCTGAACAGATCATTTGTTTTTCAATAAAGTCATTGCAACATTTGTATTTTACTGACTCAAATTTATTTGCGGAATTATAACAAAAATATCTGCATGCAAAGTTCTCTCAAATAGTAGTTCTGTCTTGGTGAGGTTATAAAAGAAGGGCATTGTTTGAGAGGTTTTCTGGCGAGGCCACTCAGAAATGCCTAGATCAGTTTCTCCACCTGCCTTCTTTGAAGCATTCTTTAGAGCCTGGTCTCTTTCCCATTGGTGTCCCTGGTGGACCCTTCTCACCCTACTCAGAAGGCATTAATTTAGGCAGGCGAGGTGTGGTATCTGGTGTTAAAGAAAATGCCGGCTGAAGTTAGTATAGGAAAAAATTGGCTGTTCATGAAAGCTATAATTTTGTTCTTTCTAGAAGCTGAAACATAAAGGCGAACACCAAACAGCTGTATAATGCCAGTAATAGATTCAAGGAAATAATCCATTCAACAATACTGTGGCCTTTCAGAACCCATGAACTAGAGACATCCTATGTGGATTCAACATGTGGATTAAAGTAGATTCTCTCTTAGGTGACATGGCATACTGAGATAAAAGAGATATGTCTATTCCGTATGTGGCTTGAAAGAGATAATTCTGTTTAAATAACAATAGACAGTTTGAAAACAAGCCGGCTTGCGATAAGAATCCGAGGGGGGTCTGCCTTTCTCTCACGTTGGATAAGAGTGCCACTAAAAGAAGCTTTAGTTGTAAATTTAGACTAACTTAAGTTAGTCTATTTATTCACTGTATTTGCAGTTCATTCAACAAATACTGCCATCTGAATGGATCTGAGTTTGATTGATTGATTGATTGATCGATTATTTCTTCCATTTAAATGCAAAATTGATGAAGCAGACATTCTTGTCTGGCTTGTACACTGTAGCATCTCCAGCACCTAGGCTGGTGTGAGGCACATGGGAGCAGCTCTGTGGATTTATGCTGAAGAAATTAAAGGAGAGAGCCAGTCATTTGATGATCTCCGTTGGGGATGATTTTGCTCTACCAGGGGAAATTTGGCGATGTTTGGAGACATTCGATGGGTATTATAACTAGGTGGGGAGTACTACCAGCATCTAGCCGCTAAACACAGCTCCCCAGAAAAAGAATTGTGTAGACCAAAATGTCAGTAAGTGCCCAGATTGGGAACCCTGGTCAAGGGGAAGAGTTTTCCAAGGGAAACAATTGGAGTGCAAAAGCCCTAAGGTGGGGGCATGTTTGCATATTGCGTTTAGAGAAACTCAAAGAAGGCCATGTGACTAAAGCCTTTCTGCAGAAGAGAAAGTGGGAGGTGATGATGCCATAGAAGCTGAGGGCCCGGTCATTCAGGGCTTTGTAAGCATACGGAGTTTGAATTTTATTCTATATGCAGTATAAAGCTATGAAATGATTTTATACAGGCATGTGACATGACCTGATTTACTGTTTTGAACATCGCTCTGAACTTTTGCTTGGAGAATGGGTTTAGTAGGGGAAATGGAAATAGGGAGAATGGTTGAGAAAATTGTTATAGCCATCAAGGCAAGAGGTGATGGTTGTCTGGAGTAAGGGGCAGTAGTGGAAATGATGATTCATGGACTGATTTATAATATGATCTAGGGTTAACAAGATTAGATACATATTAGATTTAGAAAATGAGGCAGAAAAAGGAATCCAAACAATGTATGGATGGTTATATCTC